CCCCCCTTACCCTCTTACCCCCTCCCTCCCCTCCACCCCGTCAGCCAGCACGTAGGGCCATTAGCCAAACTGAATAAATTTCCGCACCTCCGGTCTTTTCGTGATATCGGCCGACGTCAGACGCTCCATAGATCGTGAAGAGGGGTCTAGCAGTCAGGCATGAGGGTGGGTCAGGATGGGCTCCCTCTATCTGCACCTCAACGAATCGCGCTTCTGAGCCGGCTCATTGTTCCCTATAATTTAATTGAATCTCGCGTGTTTCATTTACTGTTGAAATTATACTTTACAACTCAAGACCAAAAATTGTCTACGTGAAAAATGAAAAGGTCGTACGAAGGTCACATGTCCAGCGGCATCAGTTTTTCGACTTCTCAGTTACCGACACTACAACGACTTCAAAAAAAAGTTCCCACTCCCGTCTCCTCCTAAATGAGCAACCATCTTCGTGTCCATCCTTCTGGTTTGGCCTCCGGTCCTTCAGAGTAGCGGTTAATTGATGCCCCACCCCCGACCCCTTCCCCTGCTCTCCCCAGAGTAGATCTCCCCCTCCAATTTAATGGAGCTATGAGGGCACCGCGGCTCGCCCCGCCACGCCGCGCCACGCCGCCGGCGGAGAGGTTGCGTCGAACTAATCGGCATGAATTGACTTTGTCAAGCCATTAAAACGGGGAGACGCGAAATGCAATTTCGATGTGGCGGCGGGTGACGGCGCGGTGGGGACAGACTCTTGACGTAACTAGAGTCATGAATGTTGGGGTTGGTTGGGTCAGACCACACCGGGGGGGATGCCTGCTGGGGCGGAAGCGCAAAGTTTATCCCGATACTTCTGGTGGCTATCGAAAAATGAATCGCGGTTATTACAGCCATTGAATGCGCGCTGTGCTAGTAATACATACTACGAGGCATTCTCATTGTGCAACGTGCATAACATGCACTTTGTTGGGTCCATAGGGTTTTCAGACTGCCGTCCTGGCTGGGATGAGTCTCTATCAAATAAACTCCTTCTCCGAAGTAAGTTAAATTGAGACATTAGAGCGCGAATGTTGTAAAAACTAATGTCCGTTGTCGGCGCATACAGACCGCCCCCGCCCCACCTCGCCCTCGGCCGCCACCGACCTGGCGCCTGGCGTAGGCGTAGGCCACCCGCTCCCCGGACGCGCCCGCCGGCTTGCCAGCCCGCCGCTGCTCGGGCTGAATGTGCGCTGGCTGAGGAGTAGGGGATCTTGGAGCTTGCTTGCACTAAGGGAAAACAGACTTCAACGAGGGTTCATTTGTGTTTGGAACTTCGGCGAACTTTTTGACGATAACTTCTGGTTGACAAATTATCCAATCAACAGCCGTATTCTATAGCCACGCTCCAGTGATGGGAAGGCTATTCTACTCTAAATGGCAAGGGACGATTTTTATTTCCCCTTCAAGATGGTCGGTCTGTGTGCACATCTTGCAAGATTCAAGATCCATTTTAAAGCTTTTGGGGTGACAAATTTGCCTTTACAGTTGGACAAAATAAAAAATTGTCCAACAGAAGATACAAATTCGTCATTGTTCACGATTCAAGATTGCACTCAGCAGACGCATCGTGCAATAGACACATTATATTGCCATTTAGAGTGTACGGAGACACCCATTGAGACCTCTTTACATTGTGCGTTGAATCTGAAATGTTTCTTGTTCATGTTGTTGCAGATGTTCAACGTCGCGGGCTTGATCAGTATTATCCTCTTCTACCTGCTCATTCTTGCCGTCGGCTTCTGGGCCGCGCGCAAGAAGGAGGCGGGCAATGACTCGGAGGAGGAGGTGATGCTGGCGGGCAGGAGCATTGGGCTCTTCGTCGGCATTTTCACCATGACAGGTGAGGCTGGTAAAGAGTAGAGGTGCGCCGCACCGGGGACGGTCGCCCCACTGGTGTCCTGTGCTCTCTTGCTGGAGACGTTCGCCGGGGTGCACGCCCGAGTGCATGCACCGGGGGCTCGAGGCGCGCAGCTCGCGCTGTCAGGCCGGGTGGTGGGGGCGGTGAGGGATGGGGCCCCCGGCGGAGGGGAAAGGGGCGCGGGGGGCGTTAGGGGTTGGCCCGGTCGGCCTGGCAAGAGGCCTGGCATGGCGGCCCGCGGGGGGTGGGGCGCGGCTCCCACGGGTCTCAGGCTACGACAAGGCAACAATAGCGAGCAGAGAAAATAGGGCGGGACAAGGGGGGAAGGGGGAGGGGTGTTGTGAGAGGGTAAGGGGCCGGACCTACACCACCCACACGTACCATCTACCTAGGGAGCGACGGCAACAACTAGTCTTTCTCTGTCGCCACTTCACTGGAAAAACTAATGTTACCATGGTAACGTTTCATCATGTGACCAAGACCGGTAACGTTTCCTAATGCGACCTACCCCATGCAAAAGGATAGGGCCATCAAAAACTGGTTGCATCACCAAACGTTACCTGGTGTGGTCCCGTCAAGAAACGTTACCTCGGTAACGTTAGTTTTTCCAGTGTTCTGGAGCAACGCGATGTCCTCAAAACTGGTGCGAAGAACTCTTCAGGAAAATTATGACCTTTACGACTAGATCGACGTTCATTCAACAAAGGAATGAGCCAGAAATTATTCAGTGTAGCCCCCGTACCCCCCGTACCCTACCGTTCCCGCCATCGCAGAGCAAGAGGTCATGTGAACATCCGCTGCTTTTTGTGAGAGGGCCCTTCACTGATCCCGAGGGGCTCATTCAGCAGAGAACAGACTCCCCTCTCCATTCTCTCTCCCCCCTCTTCTCACCCTTCTCCCCCTTCTATGTCTGTCTGTCTGTCTGTCTGTCTGTCTGTCTGTCTGTCTGTCTCTCTCTGTCTGTTTCTCTCTCTCTCTCTCCCTCTCTCTCTCTCCCTCTCCCTCCCTCTCTCTCTCTCTCCCTTCCTCTCTCCCTCTCGCCCCCTCCCTTTGGCTGTCCAAGTGAGATGACCTCCCTGGGGGGTTGAGGGAGGAGGCGAGGGTGAGAAACTGGGGTTTGGGGCTGGGGCGTTAATGTAGGTCCAAGGATCTCTGGAGGGGCGGACTCGACAGGGCGTCATGCCAGGGAACATTCCACACCACTCTGCCACCACACTCGCTGGTAATGCGATCCGTGCGCACTATATATGGCAGTCTGAAAGGCGGCACCCCACCGTCGCGCGCAGCTGTGCCTGTTCTTGGACCCGGGGATCTTTTCGCCTGCGCGTCACCCCCAAGGACGCGGTGCTCGTGTTCCTGGGACGGCAGGCCGCGACGACGCCTTGAGATAACCTTCCGCTCACGCCCCTCCATCTATCAGCGTCGGGGAGGGTTCCAGGAGCAGGGGTGGTGCAAAGTGCTGTGGAATCTGCGAAAAAGCCGTTCTCGCGCGGAGCAGTTAGGCCATACTGGCACTGTGCTCAGGAGCGGCCGGAGCCTGCCTGGAGGAGGCCCGCGCCGGGGGCGAAGCAGACATCTCGGCTACTGGATCATTCAGGAAGCGAGTCGCGCGGAACTCTCCAGGGCTCTCCGGCGAGCGCCTGGGCGAGCGCTCTCTCCACTGCGGCGCACGCCCCGCCGCGCTACCACCGCGAGCAGCTCGATGATGATGTTCTTGTTCCTCCCGCAGCCACCTGGGTGGGCGGCGGCTACATCAACGGCACGGCCGAGGCCATCTACAGCAGCGGCCTGGTGTGGTGCCAGGCGCCATTCGGCTACGCGCTCAGCCTCGTCTTCGGTAAGTGTGCAAAGACTTATCAATTGACGTGCACAACTAAACACTTGTTTTACCAGTGATTGTCCATGTACCGCACCTACACCTACATTCCCTAATCATTTGCGTCAAGTTTGGAAAATCTTTCACGTTCCCCTGAACATGTAACAACTTTCGTTCATGTAATAATAAGTAACGGCGCCCTGTTTTTGTGGAGGCAATAACATCACGCCACTGGTGATTCATCTCCAGTAGTTTACCTTGCTTGTTTCTGTCTGTTGTGCGACCCGCTGCTGACCGGACCCCTTGACACCCCCACTTGGTGTTCCAGGCGGGCTGTTCTTCGCCAACCAGATGCGCGCGCAGGGCTACGTCACCATGCTGGACCCGCTGCAGGACTCCTTCGGCTCGCGGATGGGCGGGCTGCTGTTTCTGCCTGCGCTGTGCGGGGAGGTGTTCTGGGCGGCGGGCATCCTGGCCGCGCTGGGTGAGTCCCCCCCCCACCCCCGCGCGCCGCGATGACGTCTCATGCTTGATTAACTGGGGATCATCGCGGCCGTTGCCGGCATGGCGTGGCACGGCCCCGACGGAGTGGCCCGGCCCCGGCCGCCTCAGGCTTCTCGTTGACGTCACGGTTCTATTGATGGGCTGACGCCCCCCCCCCCTCACCTCCCAGCCATTCACTCCTACCTTTTTCACGCTGCGGTCTCTCTATGCGGATAGTGTCGGAGTAACAGAAAGGGGTGCCGTCGACTGGAACGCGACCAAAATGCAGACATGCAAACTACGGTTCCTCTACTTGTTTTGGACCGACTTTCTTAACGAAAACGTTCCCCTCTCCAGGCGCCACGCTGTCTGTCATCATCGACATGGAGCAGTCCACGTCCGTGATCCTGTCCGCCTGCATCGCCGTGCTGTACACGCTGTTCGGCGGGCTGTACAGCGTGGCCTACACCGACGTCATCCAGCTCTTCTGCATCTTCATCGGGCTGGTCAGTCATTCTCTAACGCGGAACCCACTCTGGCCGTTTTAGTCCGCTGCAAGAGATTCGCTAACATGCCTTTTCCGTCTGTTGCGTGTAGTGGATGTGCATTCCGTTCGCCATGATGAACCCGCTGGTGGGCTCGCTGAAGGACGTCGAGCACGACTGGATCGGGCACGTTGACGGCAAGGACATCCCCTCCTACATCGACTACGGGCTGCTGCTCATCTTCGGCGGCATCCCTTGGCAGGTGTACTTCCAGCGTGTGCTCTCCAGCAAGACGGCCTCCCGGGCGCAGGTGCTGTCCTACGTGGCGGCCATCGGCTGCTTCTTCATGGCCATCCCGCCCGTCATGATCGGTGCCATCGCCAAGGCCACGCGTAAGTGAACGCACTCGTCAGCCCTATCGACTTCTGTTCGAACAATCCGAATAAAGCTCGTCTTGTTCCTCGGGCAGCCTGGAATGAGACGGGGTACAAGGGACCATGGCCCCTCACGGAGACCGAGACAGCCATGATCCTGCCCATGGTGCTCCAGTACCTGACGCCCGACTTCGTGTCCTTCTTCGGCTTGGGCGCGGTCTCAGCCGCCGTCATGTCGTCGGCCGACTCGTCCGTCCTGTCGGCCAGCTCCATGTTCGCCAGGAACGTTTACAAGCTCATCTTTAGGCAGCGGGTGAGTAAA